GACCATAAAGAGTTTAAAATTACATTTTTAAAAACTAATATTTTCCCCAGTTGGACTTTAACTTTCCTATAATCTTTTAAAATTTGTAAAATCTTTCACATTCCAATTTAATTTTTTTTCTCTCTTTGTTACGTTGTTTTCGTTGAAAAATAAAAAGAGGCTTCTATTTTTTTTAAATCACAATCTTAATAAAATAAATAAAAATTATAGTAATTAAGTTTTAAAATTCATTTTACATTAACAGTTGTACACATTTGAAATCTCAACCAACCAATGAGCCAAAATGATGCTTAAGAAATACCATATTGGACAAAATGAATAATATTATATACTAGAGATTGTCCGCGCGTTGCATGGATTTAAAAATTAACATGGTAAGATATGCAACTATTCTAGCTTATTGATTATTTGTATATTTAATATTACAAAAAAAATTGTTGTTGTACTAAATAATTATCTCCGTCAGAGATTAAGCATTTAGAGTAAATTGTTGGACATGTACAATGTTATATGTGAAAAGAAATAGATTATTCATTAATAAAAATTACAGCGTATGCATATGGAAGATATCTTCTTTTGCACAAATCTGTAACTTGTATGTCTTTATAAATTATCAATATTCACTACAATTCTCTAAAAAAATGATTGGTCGTCTTTTTTTCTTGCATCAAATACGTTTGTAAAAAAAATCTATTGATCAGAGAAGTTGTAGTATATTTTATTTCTAACGAGACATCTGCATTATCTCAACAGAGATGTCGGAATGCATCTTTGTATTTTATATCGTTATAACCTTAAATTGTAAGAAAATAATAATTGATGTCTGATTGTATTTTTTTAGTCTCACTCTTTTTATCTTTCACATCGATTCATTTGCGACATATTATATTATTCTGGATTCGTAATTTGTGGTCGAGTAAGGTTTCCTTTCTAGAATATTGGTTAAGAAATGATTGACAACTTTAGCATTCTAACAACCTTAAAATTTTTAAAATCACTAATTATTTTTTTCAGACAATTTTTTTGGGTTAATGTTACGATTCTTTCTATTAAAGCTTTTTGTGAATATTTGTTTTAAAATCGTAGTTACCTATCAAAAGTTTTAAATATTTTTGTATAGTATATTGTTCGGTTTAGTAAATAAAATATATATTTTTGAAACTGTTAAAAATTTAGAATAACACATTTTATTTGGAATTATAATTTTTGGTGGATATCAAAGAAAGAAAAAAAAATGAAATTGGTCATTCTTATGTTACATTTTAATTTTTGGAATTAAATTTTGCTATTAAATTGTAGAAATTAATTATTAAAGTCATTAAAAACATTTATTTATTTTTTTACTCTTTAAAATAAAATAAATCAAAAACTATAAATTAAAAAAAAAGAGGTGACACATGGCAGCCTCTTATAACTTCAACTAAAAAAACCTTATTATATTATATAAAATTTTGTACATATACATACATGTGTTTTACAATGTATATAGAAATTAGTAAAAGCTTTCACTAACAATTTTTTTTTTTGTGTTAAAATTTATTGCATCAATAAAAAATGAAAGTTATTTACAAAGAAAAAATGAAATAGTAAC